AAATTCTGTGTTTTTCTGTCAATATGGGGTGCTGTGTGTACATTAATGAGGAAAAAAATGAACTTAAATGATTTTAGCATATGGCTGCAATATAACAAAGAGTGAAAAATTTAAGGGGGTCTGAATACTTTCTGTACCCACTGTACGTGTAGCGTAGGTTATCCGACTGCAGATGAAGAGTGTGTGCTAAAGTTGTGTCGAAGTTCTGTTGAAACTGTGGGAATGTTTGCTTGACTCCAGTTGGAATAAGGAGGGGACACTTCACCGGTGCGGCAATCATAGGGATGTCACTGGTATGTAAATTGTTTTATGTAAAACGTAAAGAGTGTTTTACCGCTGTGTTCAGTATGATTTGCTAATTAGCGTGCGGGTTTATCGTCTTATTCGAAGTAGCGACGTTTGTACTTTGCATTATGTAAGTTAGCTATGTGAAGTCATTTATACAGAGTGTAAACACTGTATTTTAAGTTAAACCTGCAACATAAATGTGGAATTAGAGAGCTCACAATGTTGGTAGCAACAGTAATGCTCATTGTATTTTATATCTCATTTTCCTTTTGTAAGGTTATCAACCTGTTTGCTTCTGCCGAAGAAAGTTCAATAAAAGAGACAAAAGTAGAAGAAATTGAGTTATTCCTGCATCCCCTGTGATTAGCTTGTGCCCTTTTCAAGTTTGGGCAGCGTTTGAAGTAAAAAAAAACAAAAAAAAAACGGAAAACTTGACAGTCAGCTACACACCAGCACAGACTTCCTTCTGCTCTGAATCAGAGCTCATTCTCCATTTTCCATATTACTTTATCTTTGTCTCAGGCGCCCTTAAGTTAAGCCAAACGTGTACAAACGTGTAGTGTCACGTTTTGTGATACATACACGTTTCCCAGAGGAACCTTCATGAATGTCTCCAGTAGTGGTATTTTCAGATAAATGTGCTTCAATACAAAACACCCAATCCATGTATTAGAGCAGAGGCTTTCCTTTAGATTACACTGAAGAAAATATTCCTTGATCGTTTTAACAACATAACAACATAACATCGTTTGAGCAAACTGTGAACGCAATTGATCACATTAAGAAGGGAAAACTGGGAAATATCCACAGACGTCTAATTTAGTGAGTATGATCTGAGCAGAAAAACCCTAACAATAACTGAAACCAAATTGCTGGTGCAAATCTCTAGTGCTTTTGCTTTTTATTTTTGGAGGTCAAGTCAACTGGACTGTGTCAGCACTTTGTTCAACATGTGCTCTTGACCTTCTTGACATACAAATAGCTCTACTCCGTTTATCTTTATATGGCAGATACCACCAAGGACACCATTTATCGTGTGTGTGGGAGCGCGGCTATGTGTGGTAACAGAAGATAAGGAAAAGGTGTAAATATGTCAAAATGTGTTTTGCAACTAAGGGAAATATCAAAATTATATGAGGAGAACAAAGAGAGGAAAACTGCTTCAGTGAGCCAATCATCATACAGTATCACCACATTGAAAGTTTATTTTTGAAAAACACAAAAAAGTAAAAAAACAAAAAAAAAACAAAACACCCATCACGACTGACTTGGTGACATCTATAAATGTCCTATCCTACCAACAGTCTACAACACAAAGACATTTAAGTTACACTGATATGTGACAAATAAAAGCAGCAAATTGGATAATGTGAGAAGCTGGAGTCAGACAGTGTTTGGCATTTTGACTATTTTTGCTTGAAGCATGTCTGAAATATAACCAGCTATCGAAACAGGAGCTGACTATCTTCCTGTCGATAGATTAAGTGATTAAATGTTTCAGCTCTAAAGTTTTCTGTCAGGTGGAAATTGGACAAGTAACTTCATCCTCTCAGAACAAAATCCATACCAACTCTTAGGCCTTTTTGGCATAATGCAGTATGACACGACAGTGTAAGAAACTGGTCATGACAGTACAAGTACAGGTGCTTTGTTTGAGTGGTAGTGTAGTGACCTGACAAGAAGCTGGTGTTGCCTCCATCCGAGTTCTGTTTGCGGAGACAGAAGGGGCTGTCGTGGCTCTCGGGAATGCAGCAGCTGCGCTCATGAAGAAGTTCGATCAATCGCCTCCGTCGCCGGAAATTCATCCTGAACTGATACAGGAGGGGCCCATCGACAAAGTGATGCTTGTTGGTGACTGGTGACAAAGAACAACAGAGAAGGGAAGAATAAATAACTGTTAAAGAGGTAGAAGGAAGAAGGAAATAAGAAAAGGAAGAATGCATTAAAAAACGTTTGAAATTTCACCATATGACATGCTGCATTTTCATTGCTGTTGATTTATCTCTGTGTTTGTTCATGTCTTTGAAAATAAGTTCAAAATAGACAAATAAAAAACCAGACGGCACTCAGAAAGAGTTAGTGTTTCTAAACCTGAGTTTGGTCTCTGTATCTTTATATCCAACATCCTTCACTAGGCTCTGCAGTTCTAAACACCAACTAATATCGAAGTCTCAAAAAAAGGAATAAAAAAAAATCTAAACTCTTGTAGTGGTTAGATCATGTCGTACTAGTAGGTAGGAATAAAATTTATAAAGATATCTTATACCGAGTTAGAACAGGGCTTTATATTAGGCTTTGGACTGTTTATCTTACTGGCTTTTCACGAGGGACTTTGCTGAGAATTACAACAAAGGCAATAACTGTTGTATCCTTGTTAGTAGGGATCCACATACATGGACATGGATATGTATGTATAGTTTCATTTTGACTTCTGTTAGATTACTGACATATTCAACATTTCAATCATTATGTATGTTCTAACATTCAGTTCAGTTTTAAATATCTGCACCTCAATCACACACAGACAAATATAATGAAAGAAAAAAGTTCCAGAAATACACAAGAGTTAAAGGCAGAGGCCACGCTGTTGCTGACCAACAGCAGACAACGCCACTGCATATCATACTAGTTCAGTGTGTTTCTAGTGCCGAGTTAATTGCAGTTAAATTTGTTGGCCTACAGCGTAATAAGAAAAAACACTGGGCTTTGTGGTCAATTCGCATGTCATTTCGTAGATGCAAGGCTTTATTAACCTCACAGGATCCTTTTATTATATGCGACAAGAGAAAAACACACTTTGGAGCAGCCTGTAGAGAAGTGCGTTACGCCTCTCTCCACAGTAATAAACACACTGAATTATTGTAAAACTGAAATACGGTTTATCTTGTTCAGTTTAAATTGATTTAGGAAGACCTTGCGGCAGAAACAAATGGTTTAAGGTTTCTAAAACCCTAATGCGTACAGCCTGCTGTTGGCCCAGTGCCTTTTGCACAGTGATACCTTAACTCTACTCTGACCACTGTATGTGATTTGTATTCTTAATTTTCTTATGAACACTATCTGCAACTGACCTCTGTGTAACCTTTAGGGTTGTTTTAGAGCTCTCTCTTTGTGTGGGATCAGATCCAAATAGAAAACCTCTCCCACAGTAAACACACTAACCAACACAATGTGGGCCCATCCTGACTTGCCTTTGAACCTGCGGCCCAGCAGGGAAAAGAGAGGCATGCCGCCTACTCATTGTCTACTGTTTTTATGTGTTTCTAATGGGAGCCGAGGGCCTGTAAACACATCCATAAAACTCAATTATTTTTAATCACTCTCCCTACTGTAACAAAGGGGCATATGGCGATAGGTATAGTGCAAAGTCCATCATCTATATAACACGGTGGAACCTCCGTGAGGCCAGCAGGAAGCAGATCTGGATCTGTATTACATTACCTAAGAACAGTGACAACACAGTGCTGCAGTGTGTGTGTGTTGAGGCACAACACATTCCTGGGCCCTGGAGACACTCAACTCTGTTACAGTGCTTGTGAGATGAGAGAAGATGACCCACACCAAGGAGTGATCAGGCAGAATGAGAGAAGCAAAGGCCCAAAATAACTTTATTTCTGCTCTTCATTATCCTTCACTCTCTCCTTATTCGATTTCTCCTGTGGGGAATCATTTCCTCTCTGTTTAAAACTGTTTACATGAAATATCCTGGCAAGAATCATGTCCTGCAGTGGTATTTTTAGGATCTGTTGTTCCTTTATGACCAAAGGAGTTCCACAACGCCCAGCCATGTTTATACTGTGCATGTATTCTATTGAGTTCCTGTAAAAGATGAAGCCAGGCGCCACAGAATATATTGTACAGTGCAACTAATGCTACATAGTGAAATCTGCATACTGTGTTTGAAATACAATATCTCCATGACATCGGTGCAGTAATGCAGTCTAATTTAATCAGACATGGGTGTAAACCACAGATATCAGTGGGAAATCTAATTTCATGCCATGTGGTGGCGTGACAGGAACTCATTCAGAATCCATTGTTACACAAAATGCACTCTAATTTCCAAAATAGAGTTAGAATTTACTTCTGAATGTTTTTAGCCAGAAGATAATAACTTTATAGGCTATTGTAACTGACCGTAAAGCCCCCTCAGATTCATTATCATCACCCTTACCAAAAAGGTAGTATATGCAAGTATGCTTCAAGTATATTAATTTTAAACTAAAAATGAGATACTTTTTAAGTACTTATCAGAGATATACTTAACAAAGTTTAAGTTAACAATACTTGGCTTATACTAAAAATTATACTAAAAGTCTAAGTATATTGAGCCTATACTTATATTTAAACTTTTGACCATGATATACAGTAGTAGTACATTAATAGTACATTTTCACACATACTGGTTTCTTTGTGGTATACTGCATGTTTTTAAAGATTGAGGATTGGTGTAGGTGAAACTGAACCACTGTCATATACACAATGACATTATTAACCCACAGGGACAGAAATCAAATGTCTGAATTTTATTTGAAACCAAATTTGACATTTTTTAATAGACAGACTTGATTCATACCAGCATTAGCCACCATAACACATGTACTTTTTAAAATGCATATACAATACATAAAAACAAGGCAAATGGCAAAAGGAGGTCTCCACTACAACACTTGCTTTGCAGTAGTATGACTAAGGCTACTCATGGGAGCTCTTTTAATCCCGTTCATATGGATTTGGCAAAGGTGTAACGTACAATTTGTCTGTGGTTTCAACAACAACACATTTCACTTTTATCATATCAGGCCAGATGGAACTTAAGTTTCCAGTCTTCCTAACCTCATGTATGAAATCACTCTGTACATCTATCTGTGAATCTTTACATAAAAGCCTGTTAGATTTAGCCAGTTCCTCAACCAAAATACAGCAATATTTGGCACAAGCAAAATATCCAAGGTTCTGATGTGCACACTTGGGATGGGATCAAGCCAGGAAACATTATGTTAAACATTTCCAGCAAATGAGTAAGTGCTTCACCAGGCAAATTGTGCTGCAACAAATAGGACATCAGCATAAGTATACTCTCTCCTTTTGAAAGTGAAGCACCGGGATACAAGGGCTTGTCACCAGTATCTCCACTATCTTCCTTGGCCTAGAGGAGAGAGAACATATACATATAAGCAATCATAAAATAGTTTTGTTTACTTTGGAAAATATAGTCTTCTGGCACAGTCTTACTAACACCTGAAATGCTCCACCCAGATTATAGATTATTTCCTACAGAGCTACAAACTCGAAATACTACCTATTTTGAAACTTTACCTTTAATTAGAAAAGCATAATATGACCTCAAATTATGCTGAAATATCATTTGTTTAAGATTTCCTGGAACCTTTTTCTATTTCTCCCACATTTACCTCTGTAGCCAAGCAAAACATGTTCATAACA